CCTTGTACAGCAACATTGCTGTGTGATATCTAACTGTCCTTGTACAGCAACATTATTGTATAGTACCCAACTATTCTTATACAACAACATCACTGTGTGGTACCCAACTGTTTTTGTACAGCAATGTTACAGTGTGGTACCCAGCTGTTCTTGTACAGCAATGTTACAGTGTTGTACCCAAATATTCTTGCATAGCAACATCACCATTTTGTACCCAGCTGTATGGTCCCAACCATTCTTGCACAGCAATATTGCTTAGTGGTACCCAGCTATTCTTGTTCAGCAATGTTACAGTGTGGTACCCAGCTGTTCTTGTACAGCAACGTTACAGTGTTATACCCAAATATTCTTGCATAGCAACATCACCATTTTGTACCCAGCTGTATGGTCCCAACCATTCTTGTACAGCAATATTGCTTAGTGGTACCCAAATATTCTTGTTCATCAACATTATTGTGTGGTATCCTGCTGTTATTGTACAGCAGCATTGCTGTATGGTATCCAACTGTTCTTGTACAGCAACATTGCTGTATGATATCTAACTGCCCTTGTACAGCAATATTACTGTATAGTACCCAACTCTACTTGTATAACAATATTATAGTATTCTTAAATACCAAAGACATTTATCCATAGTAGACTTCTTGTCATAGTAAAAAAGAAATTTCCTTTTTTTTAGGGAATGTTTTCTAAGGTTGATTTCCCATGACAATGAGCCTGTGTTTGTAAAATGCAAAACTTATCTTTCTATACATTCATTACATTGTTAGTTTTGAACAATCTAACCTGAAAGTGTTTAAAAAATGTCAACAAGCATTTTGTTTTTCAGTTTGTGATAGAATTATTAACTAAATCTCTCTTCATAGGTTACCCCCTATCATTTAGAGCTTAGTTTATCTATAACAAAGCAACCCTCCTTCTTTTTTAATTTACTTGGTCTTTAGAAGAAATTATAAATCTTGTGTTAAATCATCACACTTCATTTAATCTAGAATTGATAACATAATAAATTCATTAACATTGTAAAAAAAAGAATTGGTGGATACAGAAAGTGTTTTTAAAAATGGCAATAAGCAAGTACATCAAGGATATGTTCATAAAGAAAATGCACAGAATGATTTACCCTGTGGTGGTTAGGAAAAGTTTGTATTATGTACTAGTTAGTTTGGTGGTTAACTGATGTGTTACAACAGCGGAAGTCACATGACGCTAGTAACACATCATATTCTCGAAGGTTCCTGAAGCCTCGAGTGTTTACTAGATGTACGGTATTCTTGTATATAATACAGCCAAGAAGTGACGGCAACAATGTAATTGAACTGCAGACAGAGAGAGACTGACAATTGAGTCAAGCATGTGAGTCGTTCGTTGTGAATTATAGCGTTTGTTATAGCGTGACCGTGGAAATTAAGTGAATTTCGAAGTTGTATTGAGAAAGAATAAACTAGTTTTATTTAAGAAAAAACTTGTATCACTAAAGTTTCATCGGAAAGAAATTATACGGGAAATTAACTAACGACCAGAGACATAACAGATGTTAAATTTTTTAGTGTTTAAAATAAAATGTCTGTTCTAATTTACATAATCTGTAGTCAGACAAGTACCTTTTTAAACCACATATTGTTAGCTATAGTTTTATATTTTATAATTAGTATGGTCATTTATAACAATACAAAATTTGTTTGTAAGTAGTTCTAAAATTGATATTAGAATGCTTATTGAGATTATATTGAGTTTGAAGTTGGCTAACCTTCTGTCTGCATAAAGAGCCATAATGATTGTAGGAGATTAAAAGGATTTTTATGTACAAATAATGCTGTGCATTGTCCTTGAAAAATGCTCGTATTTACATTCAAGTTAAAAAAAAATATGATCCCAAATACTTCAAAAAAAGCATATACCAGCAAACATTTGAGAGATTTTTAAGCATGTTTTTAGTTTTGATTTTATTTCCTCTGTGTGTTTTTTGATACAGGCATTACCAAACAACAGAAACAAGATGAAGGCACATTTAATACTAGAAGATGGATCTGTTTTCAGTGGAACAATTTTTGGGAAGGAATGTTCAGTATCTGGAGAAGTGGGTAAGTGGTAGCAAAATACGTGGAGAGTTATGTGAACTAATGAAACATTATAAGTAATCATTATCATTTTTCAGCATGATGTGGATAAATACATGGAGAATTATGTGAACTAATGAAACATTACAAGTAATCATTATCATTTTCCAGCATGATGTGGATAAATACATGGAGAGTTATGTGAACTAGTGAAACATTACAAGTAATCATTATCATTTTCCAGCATGATGTGGATTTTGAAAAATGTTTTGAAGATTTTGAGGCAGAAGTATAGCAGCTTGATAAAGAATAACTTCTAGTTTGTACATATTTGCTCAAAAATGTTTACAGAACAATATTACATTTATTACACGAAAAACTAAACATATCATTAAAGTAGTCTAAATATTATTATGCAATAAATTTTACATTTTTGAATTGAAATGAATTTCAGGCATTTGCTTACCTCTGAAATACTCTTTTTGAGTTGTTCTCTCTCTCTTTATAAATGACCTTGTGACTTTTGGTTCTGATTGTCCTTGATTCAGTAAAACTTAACTAATATTCTCCATGAATCTGTTGTTACGAAATAAAGGCAGTCACACCCTTAGTTCATTTTTATTAAATCAGGCACCTGATGATATGTGAAGTGAAATTCAAATGATTGGTCATTTGGTTTGTGCCCGAAAGTGAGTATTTGGTAGGGATGACTTTTAATTTTTATAATTCATAATTTTTGGGAGGTATAAAGTTACCATTATTTCCTTCTTTAGATGGAGTTGTCTGTTATCACATCACTTATTCTACACACACACACATTAATAATGCAAATTTACAGTAATTTCTGATAATTGTGCCTAACTTTGCCATTTTGTCATTCAGAACCCACTGGATGCTTGATGAGGTGGATTTTAAGACTGCAAGATTTTGAGTTTACAGTTGTACATAAACCTGTAAAGCTAAATTGTGTACCAGATGCCTTATCTTGAATCCTGTTGAATGTGATAATACTGAAAATAGCCTTGATGATCTTTAGATAGCTGTATTATTTTACAGCAATATTAGAAAACAACTATTGTTATTTTTTAAGATAAAGCTCATACTTGAACCATACAACTGGCTGATCCAATAATTGGTCCAATGCTAAAGGGAATAGAAAATAAATCCTGCAGGGTAATGGATCTTCCGTAATATATAAACCACAAGAGGATGTTCTGTATGATGTCAGTCTAGAAACAAATAGATTGTACCGTACTCAAATGCATTTGAAATTATATGTTCTTGAATATTTATGAGCAACAGTAATGAATTGTTACTGTGATCATTCACTAGCTGTCCATCTTGGAATAGTTAAGACTATTTTTCATATACAACAGTTTTCTGGCCTTGAAGTCAACAGGATATAAAACATTGTTTACTGTTACCCTGTGTGCCAGACTGCTAAACCATCTCAACAATTTACTGATAGTTTTATGATGCCTTATGTTCTAAAATATCCATTGCAGTTTCTTTGATTTTGTTGGTCCATTACCACACACTACAGAATGATACTAATACATCTGTGTATTTGTTGATTATTTTACCAAATAGACAGAGGTGTTCCCTGGCAGAGATGATACGGCTAAAACCATTGCACTGTTATTGGTCTGCTGTTCAACACAGTATACCTACCAATTTAATAACAGATAGAGGAATGTAGTTTGTAAGTTGATCTGTTCACATTGGGTTTAACATACAAGCTTAAAGCTGCTTACCATCCACAGACCAATCTCTCTAAAAGGGTTAATCATAATTAGAAATAATAGTAAAATTTTTTTGTTCAATCCAAACACAATAAATGTAATGAATATTTACCACATTTAACATTTGCGTGGAGAAGTGCTTCTCATGTGAATCCCCTAGATTTTAAATTTATAGGAGAGATTTCAAGTTTTATCTTGAGTTTTGGTGCCTTGATGCTGTGGAGGAACATTCTGATGCTGCACATATGATTCAGTGTTATAAGACTTCATTACTAAAACTTTTTAAGACTATTATTTTATCTAACATACAAACAACAGAAAAAATATTATGATGATTCAGTTACTTTGGTAGTTAAAGATCTGGTTTGTGTTCATTTTCCCTTCCTTGGATTACCTAGTTTTCCCACACTCTCCAGATATCATGATACATGCTGATCAGTTTACAGCACATTTAAGTTCTGGGGTCAACATGCCTTGACCACCCCTATACCTACAAACTTGACTCCTCTGTTGTTGGAATCTCCTGGGTAGGGATGCACATTTAGCTCATGTGCTCCTACCCATGTTTTATTTGCAGGACCTTTATATGGCTCCATTTTTATGCCGGTTGGTCTTTGGAGATGTTCCTGACTCATTGGAGTTGGGGGGTAGGGGCTGTTAATCAGCACTCCTCCTTTTTCATCAGTAATCTCTCATCTTTTGCAATTTTCTTTTCTACTGTTTCTGTATCCCAACCCATTCCTTCTGCCTTTTTGCCTGTTTCTCTTTTTCTGAGTTTCAGCAGCTAGCCATCAAATTGCTTAGTGTCAGTTCTCCTGCCATCAATGGTACTGGTGACTATATCATAGATTCTGGTCAGAGCATGTTTGGCCAGGTTTGTGCACCTAAGGAGCAATTTTACTTTGAATAATTGGGAGCTTCAAGTGCTATCTGAAGGATTTTCCTTTTGTTTTTCAACTCCACCTCATCCCCCACATACCATTCCCTTCCTTCATTCTCGGGATCCAGTTTCCTACCAGCATCTTTCAATGGTTTGGGCTCTTTTTCTGCAGGAATCTATTGAACCCATCAGTCACTCTTTTCTGGGATTCTAATCCCTGATGTTTGTAGTTCCCAAGAAGACTGGGGACTGGCACCCTGTGATAGATTATTCCATTTTCAACCATTTCAGTGACATTTACTGTTTCACCATGAGCTCCTTTCTCACTCTTCAGTGAATATTTACCCTGGGTTTTTGGATGACAAAGATGGACATTTTTCTCACCCATTTTTTCCTCATGATCCAGAGATAGTGAGAAAGTTTCCTATAGCAAAAATTAAGTTGGACATTCCATTCTATGTGGAAGACCTTGAGGCCATGTGTATGAAGGCACACATCTGTATCTTGGTGATTGCCAGTACACCAGGCAGTAGAAGTTTGGAGGAACCAAACAGAAAGGAGATTAAATGAGGCATCTGCAGTCACCACAAGAGCTAAGAAAAGCAAGCAAGACATCAAGCCCCTGCAAGTCTTGAAAGGTGACATCCCGAATCTAGGTCTATGGTAACTGAAGGAATGACAGAAAACCCTTCACTGCAGAAACTTTGGAACAGTGTGTGGGAGAATGTTAAACACAAGACAAAGGGAAAGGAACTTACAGAATAGAGGACTGGATGGGAGTGCTGTATCAGATCTATCAAGGCAGTTTTACAGGGGGAGTTAGACAGATCATAATATCAACAGAATACTGGACTCAAGTGATGAAATTGGCTCATGAGTCGATTTTGGGGGAACACTTAGGAGTGAAGAAGATGACAGACAGAATCACCAGCTACTTTCTTTGGCTGGGAGTCGTTGGAAATGTGACCAGAATCTGCAGGTCATGTGACATCTGCCAAAGGACAGTACCTAGAGGGAAAGTATCCAAGGTGTCACTGGATGAGATGCTTCTTATAGAAGAGCAATTCAGCAGAGGAGCTGTGGATTTGATCAGACCACTAGAACCTGTATCCAACAAGGGCAACCAGTACATGCAGACAGTAGTCAACTGTGGGACATGTTACCTAGAAACCGTAGCATTGTCAAAGATAGAGATAGAGGGAGTAGCAGAAGCCCTCCTGGAAGTGTTCTACAGAGTAGGCTTTCCAAAAGAAGTCTTGAGTGAGAGAGAGATCCTCAGAATTGTTGCAAGTGGTGTGCAGACTCATCAACATTCGGCAGCTCCTTACCACCCTGTACAACCCTAAATGTAATGGACTTTGTGAGAGAGTCAAGGGAGTCTTAAAGAGCATGCTGGAGAAGATGTACCCGGAAAGACAATTGACTGAGACAGGTACCTGCAGGCAGTATTATTTGTTTACCTAGAAGTCCCACAAGTGAGTACAGGATTTTCACCTTTTGATTTACTGTACTGAAGAACAATATGAGGTCTGATGCAGATATTAAAAGAACTGTGGACAGGAGAAGAAGATTCAGAAATGAGGAATACATACCAATACATGTTTGACCTCAAAAGAGACCTGTCAACTTACTCAAGAAAGCTTTTATGCAGCTCAAGGCAGTCAGAAGCACTTCTAGGACAAGACCAAGGATCGATGTTTCAAGGTCAAACAGAAGGTCTCGGTTCTGCTACCCACAGACATCAACAAACTCACTTGCAGTGGAAAAGACCTTTGAAGTGGTCAACAGAATGGACTATAAAGTGAAAGTGGATGGGAAGACCAAAATCTACCACACAACTCTGTTGAAGAAGTACTTTGATAGGGAAGAAGACCTAATATGTGCAGCTGTTGAGGCCACCAAGGGGACTACAAATGCTGGTGTAGACTGAATGAGCAGACTTTGTGTATGAACTGAAATCAGTCTTTGTATATAGTATAAAAAAATGTTTTAAATATTTTTCTTGAAGAGGGTTTCATGTGAGTGTTATGATTTAGTTTATATAGCATGAGTGTTCATTTTAGTTATTTTAGAAGCAATAGTTTATCACACATTTGTGTATGTACCTTTCAAGAAACATAAGTTGTGTAGTTCAACAGTTATGAATTGGTGGTGTCTTTGTTTTAATTGATTATCATTGTATCGTGATATCTAGTGGTGCGTAGAACGATCCAGACCTGTGTCAGGGTATAATATATAGTTTGAGAAATAAATCTTATTCCTGTAGTAGTTATAATTTGGTATAACATGAAAGATATTTTTATGTTTTAATGGGTAAAAGGGCTTTTAATCTAATACAAGCAACATCTCATGTGTATTACTTGTATATTATAAACAATTGGAAGTTACTTATGAGAATTTCTTACTTATATTTCTCTTCTAATCTTTATGAACAGTGTTTCAAACAGGAATGGTGGGCTATGTTGAATCTCTGACAGACCCCTCTTATCATGCCCAGATACTTGTACTCACCTATCCACTCATAGGTAACTATGGTGTACCTGCAAACACTAATGATGAAAATGGAATTTCCAAAGTGTTTGAGTCACACCAAATCTGGCCAAGTGGTTTGATAATAGGACAACTGAGTGAAAGGTACAGTCACTGGAACAGCTCTCAGTCTTTGTCTGATTGGTTGGAAGCTAATGGAATACCAGGAATACAAGGTAAGTTTTATTTTTATAAACTTTCCACACTGTCACAGAATATTCTTACTAAAATATTTATGTGTAGAAACTGGTTTAAAATATTTGGAAATATCACCACTGCAAAGATTTGATTTGGAATCTAAACTTTTTGATTAAAAAACTTCATAAAATTATTATGTTACATTATTATTTTTATTATTTTGAACCATGATAGTGCTTCATAAGAGTGATAATAAGGAATTACACGAAACTCTAATATAACATTCAGGCAAAAAGTACCTTAAATACTAAAGATTTAGTTCAAATAACATTTTAAAACATTTGATATGGATTGCTAATATTGTACACATATAAAAATGCACAAAAAACCATGCATGTTAGACTTTGCAAGGAAAAAAAATATGTTCAAAATGGACCATTGTAATTCTTCTTTTCATTATTATTCTCTTGCCAGCTTACAACAAAAAATTGACTTGGTATATTGCACCCAAACCGAATAGGGTTCTGTGAAGGTCATAGGGGTATTGAAAAGTTGATTTGTTTCTTCTATATTTTACATAAGCTAAAAACATCATAATTCTAGTGTAAACAATGTTATCACTAACTTATGAAGTTAGCTTTCTTACAAATATCTGGTGTTACTTTAAAGTTTAAGTAACAGGGTGAAACAGGAATTACCAGCCAATAATAGAAGAGCATTACATGACTGTAACATGTAGATACCCAATGCTTTGTATATATTATACAGTCTGTTTCTTTATGGAACCAACCCCTATATTATGTATTAAGTAAAGGAGTAAAGAAAAAAACAATACTAATAATATTAAATGTTATTACACACAATCATAGAATAATTAACTTAAAAGACAAAGATTTATTTAAAGTGATGTTTTAGACATCATTGTTTCATTTGTAAAATTTTCCATTGGTAAAATTTTATATGCACTTAGTGAGTGTTGTGTCTTAGTCTGGGAATATATTTTCCCATTACTATGTATTATATATAGATAATTTAGTTACACAGAAACTATAAATACTCATTATATTCTCAAACAAATCTCCATGACAATCTCCAGCTGCAGCTTAACATTTTACATCTCACACTAATGTGATCAAATAGTCAATAGCTACAGTAAATCATCATGAACCGTATCAGCTAGCGACTAGCTATGTTTATCATTACAATGTATAAAGTTAGCTACCATATCAAGTAACCCTTTGCCCATAGTTGAGCATAAAAAAAGCTAGGAACCAAGATAAATAAAGAATTGGGAAATTAAAAATCTGCAATTAGGAACCATAAAAAATTAAGGAAACAAGGTTGGTGATACAACATTATTTATTCAAAATACAAACCCATATTTTAGCTCCATACTGTTACCTAGAATTACATGGATTTGAAATAGGGATTTGCAGTTTGAGTAAATAATGTGTACAGTATCTAAATTTTGCTTACTTTTTTTTTACAATCCCTATTTCCGGGATTTTAAATTCTCAATTTTTTATTTATCTTGTATTATGACTTACTTGAGTTCCTAAAAGCTATCTTATATTGTTATTATTATTATTATTACTGGTTTCTTGAAACAAAAATAATTTTATAAATATTTTTTCATAGGTATTGACACAAGAGAATTGACAAAGAAAATACGAGAAAAAGGGACAATGCTAGGAAAGGTGGGTAATTAGACAATCACAATTAATGTGTATTAGTTTTTAATCCAGGCTAATATACAAACTGTTTTTGGTACTGTTAAGTAACTTAAGTTGGAGTTAATAGTTTTTCTAATTATTTTAACTTTTGTATTTACCAGTGTTGTTACATCTTTTTCAAAGCCTTATTACTGTGAGCTTTTATGAATCATATCACACATATACATTTTGGCTACTATAAATGGTTTAGATTTATTTACTACTTCTGGTTTCCCACTTAGTGCATGGTGTGAACTGACAGGAGTTAGATAAAGTTGGGTTACTTCTGTTAAACACACCTCATATTATGTTTAGTGTATTATTTTTCTTTTTATTACATTTAAATTACTATTTATTGTACATTTCCATTATTCATTTAATTTGTTATTTATTATTTTTATTATCTTCATAATCTTTTGTTTTTTTCTGCACTATCTTGCTAACCAGTTCTGTATCCAAACTAATGCATATTGCAGTAATTAACCTCAGATGTCAAGCTACGCTTAAAGTAAAGATAGATGGGGTGAATATAAAATGCATTTGTATATAGCATTTTCCAATGAACTCCTTTGTTGGTTTACAACTAGGGGGTTTCCTGATGATTGGCCTACTGTGGCTCGTATGGTGGAATTTCTCTCCTGGCTCATTGACCATGGGTCAGTGGTCTCCTTATTTTCGGCTATTGGGTGGACTTATCACATACCTTTTATTTTTTCCAATACCGTAGAATTTTTACTTCCCTGTCCTTACCATGCTCATGTATTCCTTCTGGATATATTGGCTCTCAGGGGACCTACCTTTCCAGATTGGGATGTTAATGTGGTCCTCCATTCCCTTACTTTACCACTGTTTGAACCACTTTCCTCGTGTTCCTTGTTTAACCTTGCCTGTAAAACTTCTTCTCTTAGCCTATAGATGTTGATGATCTGATTTGTTTACAATGTACCCTTTATCACCCTACCTGTCTTTTCCTTTATCCAGATTGTTCCTTTCTACCAAAGACCTCTGCAGCTTGGGAGGGTGGTTACTCCTTTTCTCCTATTTCTTTTCCTTCCATTTCCCAACTTTACCCTTAACTGGATCTGGATAGACTTCTGTGCCCTGTCAGGGCTCTTTGTTGTTATATTGCTCATACTGCTTCCTTCCGGGGTACACGTTCCTGACTCTTTATTCCCAGGCAATCCTACTCCCTTCGTGATCTTTCACTGTCTACCCTTACCAATTGGGTCCATCTTTTGGTTCGATTGGCCTATTCCTCACTTTATCCCTTGCTTCTCATCTTTCTCATCCGATGGAGGAGATTCTGCATTCCAGCATCTGGACCATACCCAGTACATTCAACTTCAATATCTCCATCATATTGCGGTTTTCTCTTTGTTGGGATTTCATCTTCCACCTATGGCCATTCTTAAAAATTTGGTGTAACTCTTAACTGATAAGTTTTTATTCATACTTTCTTTTAGATGCCTTTCTCTATTTCTTTATCTCACTCAGTGGGGAGTAGTGCTTGACCAGATTTTCCTTAGCTTGAAAACTGCACTGTCCAGCCATGTTGACATGCGCTAATCGAGTGAGTGAAGGTAAGTACTGTATTGGAAGTTATAATTTTTCTATATTGAAAATGTATTTCTGATAGGTACTTAACTCCACTCATACTTCCCACCCTTCCTCCTCACATTTCTCCGGTGCTGACATTTTCTGCCAAATTTCGAAGTGGTTTCGGTAGAGGAGTGTATAGAGAGTCACATGCATCATGTGAGCACGTCATACTGCTATTGGTGTGGAGGTGACGTATGATGATTTGCATAAGAGACATGGTAGAATCTTGTAGTTCCAATAATGGGGAGTGGAAGGCTTGTGGCATGCATAAGGAGAAAGTTTGCATATAGAGAGCAGCACTGAATGAGAATAGCTAATCTTGTGAGCGGAGGTAAGTACCTATCGGAAATATATTTTCAGTATAGGAAAATTATAACATACCAAGAGGCAGGAGGGTGTGATTATATCTATAATGCTTGCTGCCTCTGTTGCTTGGAGTAAGAGTGACTTCCATCTAGCTACACAGCCATTATGGTAAATAGTATTACTAAAAGCAAGTGTACGACTGATGAAAAATTGCATTCTACTTATTATTAGTAAGAATGTAAGACCAGTATATTAAAGTAATTATATTCATTATTCTTTTGCCTCAGAGAGACCATTAACAGCATCAGAAGACTTATTTTGATTCAGTTTCTGATGATACTTTTAGTTTCAGAGCAAGTGTAAGTAAAGAATGTCTAATTTTGATAAATTGTTAGCAATAAATTAAACAATGAATAAACAGAATGCACTTGTTTTCAAAATAATATATATATATTCAGAACAAGTTAATGTACGTACAGTAAATTCTTCAACACTATAGATATTATGGGCAAATCATAAACACTACTTATACATAGTTCTCTTCTTCCTGACAAAAGTCCACTTAGGCCTATTCAATTACTTTAGAATTTCAGTTGACAAGTCAAACTGTCTTCTCTATTTCTATCGTACTAGTAATCTGTGGGTGATTCACTTACAGTTGTGGCACAAGTTACCGTAATCGTTTGGTCTTCTTTCGTCTGAAGATCCTCTTCTCCTTTTGTCAAAGTGTACTCAGGCTGATTAAATTACTTTAGAACCACGTTTTGACAGAATAAAATTATTTTTCTTATCTTCTTTTCTACTGTTAGTTTCACTCTTAACATATTAAACATTAGGCCTATCACTTCTATGCCAGCTTTATTCTCTTTCGCTATTATCTGTTTGCTTCTGTCTGCTATTCGCGCTCATCTCACGCTATTTATATTTTTATCACTGCCTTCTATATTCTCAAAGTCAATGTATTGTATGTGATGTTCAATATTCTCAACATCAATGAATTATCCTTTACTGGACATCAGCTTAGTGTTCATGTAACTCTGCTGTTGGGCTTATATGTTGATGATGTTTGCATCTTCACAAACTACAATTGAGCCTGCATTTTGATGATGTTCACAATGGGAATGCAAGACAACTAAAATACATGAAAATAAGTTATTATATAAGTTGTCTTACCTTCCCATAGTATAGTTATAAGTTATATTTTTTGAATGTTGTAATATAGATGTTAACTAGAGGGTGCATCATATTAAGATCGAGTTAGACTTAGGATATTTGGAAATATTAATGAATAAGAGGCTTTACAGAGTATATAAAACAAGGATTAGATTATAAGAATGAGTAAGCTGGTTCACTGACTAAGTAAGCTTGCAATGAAACAGTGAAGCATTAAGAAGATAAATTGTTTTCTAGCCATAAGAGTGAATAAGGCAGTGTGTTTACGTTTTTGAAACTGTATTAACTATTGCGCATAATGAGTTATTTTGTACAAATTAATTGATTTTTACAGTGGTTTACTGCTGACAGTGTGGCTGTAAATGTAGGTCTACAACAAGTTACAAAGTGTACAAGCCTGTAAAGAAATGCGAAGGAGGAAGTAAAACTAATTTATTATTACATTAACTAAATGTTGAATTATTTTCGCCAGGTAATTTAAAAAGAACCCACCAATCAAAGAACAATGTTACAATAATGATATCAAGAGTGGCTTCCTGGTCTTCTTTTGTTTTTCTTTCTCTTTCTTCCTGATCTTGTCTTAATAATTTTATCAACTCAAGTAACTCTTCACTCTCATTCTTTGAACTCATAGTCATCATCTTCAAAAGTTCAATCAAAGTTCTATTATATAATATCCCCCCAAAAAAGAATGAGACATAAAATTAGAAGAAAGACTAGGAAGAATAAGACAAAATTTTAAGAATATCAAGAAGAAAAAGCCAGAAGAAAGAAATAGAAAATAAAAAAAAAGACCAGTAAGAGTGGCATAGAAAATTAGAAGAATGTGATAGGAATTTAAGGGAGGATTAAAAGAAAGAGACCAACTACTTAGAAAAGAATTAAGATAAAAAATAAATGTGATTGAATACAAGATCAAGGAAACTATAGGATACTTACAGAAAGATTACAATAATAAGAATTAAGAAATATGGAAAGGCTATAATGACAAGATTGAAGAAGTACAAAAGGACATCAAGAAAGCCAAAAGCAAAGTACAAAAGGACATTGACAAAGTCAAAAGTGTAGTCAAGAAAGACATCAAAGAGGTAGGAAAGAGGATCATTAAAGTAGAAAAGAATATCAGTAACAGGATAAAACGTCTCGAAAATGAATTGTTAAATGCAAAGATTAAACCAGTCACACCTCTTCTTGCATTGGCTTAGGAGTTCCAGCTTGAGATGTCATCTGCTACAAATTATGTAAGAGGAGAATTTATTTGGTGTACACCTGCTATAACTACTACTATTGTGCCTTCCTGAATTATTCTAGCCATGAAATTACCCAATCTAGTTCTCCAGTTTAGTTGGTCAATTCAACATTGGCCAATAGAAAAACGAAATGACTATGATGGGAAGTTACCATGGGAGGTATACCATGCTCTATTTCAAATAATTTCCAAAATGAACAGGTGGAATAGTGAGCAATGAATATCCATCTTACTGCCCATCTAAAAGAACAACATAAAGTAACCTTCCAGCTGAGAACCATAACAACTATCAGGCATTTGTAGCTACTTAACCCTTTATTATCCATAGAAGGGTTTTTACGTTTACTGTTCTAGGCATAAATATATGGATGGAGATGATGTCTATCAGATGGAGATGATAAAGGGTTAATCTAACAAGTTTGAGATGTTGCACCAGAAAGAAGCATCCACAGCAAAGTTCCAGAACAGGGTATATAGGAAAGAAGAGACTTTAGCCAAACATACAAAAGATTTGGAAAGGCTTGCCCAATTATCGTACGCAGATGCTCTTCATAAAATAATGGATTTGTTGGCATGTGACCAACTTATAGATGCCATAATAGATGAGGATATGAGAATTAGACTAAAGCAAAGTAAATTTATGTCTTTAAAGGAAACTCTGCAGTTGGTGATGGAACTTGAATCCATCAAAATTGCAGATAAACTATTAATGACACGATCTAGAAGTTACAGGGAATATTAGATTCTGTAGTATTGAAATAATTTCCTCCAGTAAATATGTAGAAGAACTGAATATATTAGTTAGACACCTTGTTAAACAGAACAGAATTAATAAACCACTGGACAACAGATGTTTCAAGTGTATCCTGAAAGGACATATTGATAGGAATTGCAGCCAAAAGCCTGTATGAAATAAGAGCTCCTCTCAAGGGATACCAGAGAGAAGTAACTGTTGTAGGTATGGATAACCTGGCCATTACAGCCGAGACTAAGTGCTCCTCTCAAGGGATACCAGAAAGATGTAACTGTTGTAGGTATGGGTAACCTGGCCATTACAGCCGAGACTAAGTGCTCCTCTCAAGGGATACCAGAAAGATGTAACTGTTGTAGGTATGGGTAACCTGGCCATTACAGCCGAGACTAAGAAATCAACAGCTACTATTAAGCCAAAGAGATCAAAGGAACAAAAACTAACAAAACATCAAGAAAACAGGAATTAGTTGGATTTATGAGGCAGTTCAGCTATGATGAAACAAAAGGTAGTTATGTTGCAAGTCCTCATAAAACTGAATATCTTGAAGGTGATGTGGTATGGATGGACAGTTCTTGTTGTGAGATAAGAAAAATTCCAAAATTAAGTAGGTGTTTGGAGGCTAGGTAATCTAAGCCAAAGGTCATCCACCGGGATCATCTTTTGAAGTATATCTGTTAGAGAATGGTAAATTCAGTAACTTCAGACAAAATCTTATTAGTAGAAACGCAACCTGCTGAGGACCCAGGAGTTCCTGTTGAGACTACTTTCTGAGGATCAACAAGGATGGAGTCACCTATATAGGGAGAGAGCTCTCTCATCCTAGCAAAAGGACAGCTTTCAACAACAAAGGGCAAGACACTGTTCCATCTTTTTATACCTTGGACCTGGGAAAATAAAATTATAAAAAAACTTGGTGAATGGAGAGTTTAGTGTAGTGTTATATTTTTGTATTAAGATTATTCAAGGGATTTAAAAATCTAGGAATGGGGTTAGTGTTATAAGCTATATTTTTAATGTTTTCATTTAGATAATAGTTAGAATGCATATCATGTTATGATCGCATTAGTCCTAGAATATTCAAGAATAATAATTATTGAGAGGCTTTGCAAAATATCTAGAACAAGGATTATAAGTACAGGTGAGTCAAACAATTGGTTAAGTAAGCTTGCAATGAAACATCAAGAAGAAAGAGAGTTGTTTTATAACTGGTTGAGTGAATCAGTCAGTGTGTTTACATTTTTAGATTTGCACATACAGGAACTTTGTACAAGGAGGTTAAATTTGACATTGCTGCAGTGCTGATAACTTAATGTAGACCTACAATAAGTTACAAAGTGTACAAACCTGTAAAGAAATGTTAAGGAGGAAGTAAAATTAAGTTGTAGTTATGTGGACTGGATTTTGAATTATTTTCACCAAATAATTTAAAAGAACCCACCAACGAAAGAACAATTTTACAATAATGTGTATACTTCTTTTTTTATAAGTGTATTCATTAGTATCATATGAAAACTCATTGTTGAAGCATATTGGTTAACAAGACAGATTTTTAAATTTTACAACAAATCCTGCTTTTAATGGCTTTTAGAAACGATATATTTCTAGAGTCAATAACTAGTTGATATTGTAAAGTTTCATTATCAAGCTGTTTATTGTAAACCATTGTCAACTTTTTTTCTTTAAATCAAAAGCATAAAAGTAGTATAAGAGTCGATTAAATAATAAAAAAAAAAATTCTCCTTGTTTTAACTTATTACTGTATTTTGAATGTGATTTTGTTAAATGATTTTGTATACTTTTAGATGGTTCTTGAAGGAACTGATCCAGCATCCATCCCTTGTGATTTTGTATACTTTTAGATGGTTCTTGAAGTAACTGATCCAGCATCCATTTCTTGTGATTTTGTTAAATGATTTTGTATACTTTTAGATGGTTCTTGAAGGAACTGATCCAGCATCCATCCCTTGTGATT